AGCTTTTGATTCTACTCCCTCTCAACATCCTTGCAACTTACTGTGATAAAGTTCTACATCATATTTGTCGCCACTTTTTTAACAACTATGTCGCATTGAACGTAATAAAAATCTGTCAGAAACTACGATTACTGCGACTCATTTTTCGCATCGTGCCATTAACTCTATTTGATATCAGTCAATTAAAAGTAATGCTTCTTTACTCATCATTGGCCATTCTCTAGTACTAAAACTTAGACATATAGGGATCGCTTTAAGAGAGGGTCCATAAGACCATCAAGAAATCGAAGCACTTGATAAAATTTAAATTTTTGATTTAATGCTTTAATCTTGTTCAGCATCATCTAAAATCCCCAAATTCAAATTTTTAGCGCATTTGGTTGAGCTGGTGAGAAGTAAACTAAACTTTACAGTCAAGTACTCACGAGGATATTTGGAAAGTATAAACGCAATTATCTATATAAAGTTGACTTTTAAAAGATGACAAAAACTTAACCAAATTTCTCATATAATATACCAAATGATAGAGTATCAAAAGTTGAACAAAACTACCTATTTACATATTATTTTTTCATGAACTAATTCAGAGTTATTTGTCAAATACTGTCCATAAGAACCCATTATTTTTCGAGTGAAAAGTGAGTGGATTTTTTTACAGTGTCTCAGCTACCATTCAGTCGTTCTATGAATACCCAGACTGAATTTCACAAATGTTGTATAACTTTTTCTCCACTATAAAATGGTTTAAAAAGTTTTTAAAAAACCTTAAGTTTGAGGTGAAAAAAGGCTCAAAATATTGACCAATCAAACAATATTTATGTGAAAAAATAGTATGTATGGTTTTTCTCTGATGAAAAATGAATTTGTTATTAGAATATGAAGTATCTATAGCATTTTTCACACAAGTATGATATAGTTCGAGGAGTATATATTCTATAAAAGATAAAACAATCAACACATTTTGTGTTCTATCAATATGCATTCAATAATGAGATCGGATACTGTTCTATTGACACGTGAAATACAAACCAATTACAAACAGGTAGTGCACACAATCATTTTCTTTTTTTTTTAAATGAACTCATCCGACAGACTATGTATGTGTGACCATATATGTAGATAAAGAAAAATAATTCGAAACGAAAGGAGAATATTTCTAATGCAGCATGTGTTCAATATTTTTTTTCTTCTATCTTCTATCTATTGATATATTACGTTTGTCTGAATTGAAAAAGAAAACTAAATAACAAACTATTTACTCGTGCTGGAAATCCTTTGAAAGTAATGTTGCTAAGAACAGACATATTTTTTCAACATAACCCTAGTGAAAGTACTCGTCCAGCGAGTACTCAAAAAGTACTCACGCTAGAAAATGCCGCGAGTACTCATGAGTACTCGCAATTTTGAGTACTCATCAATAGTACTCGTGCTAGATTTAGAGCACCTGAGTACGACTCTCGAGTACTCGCCTTGAGAAATTGAGTGTTTTTCGAATACTCACTGCACATTTTCTGAGTACTCTGATGAGGTTTTCGTAAAATACTCATAAGCCTATATTTCGTCCAGCATTATTCTACTTTATTCGTTTTATTTCATTTATCAAAAAGTAGTGCAGCACAAAAGTATATTATGAAATTTTGAGAAATGAAAATGTCACATTATATATTTCTTTAATTTTATTACAGAACGAGCATAAACATATTATGTTCAGAAGAAAAGAAACTGTATTGAAACACATATTAAACACATTATATTGTTACACACAAATAAATGGTAAATAATTGTCAAAATTAACATATACGATAGACATAAATAGAAATATTTATATTATTACGAAAATAATGAATATATGTCGAAAGAAAAATAAAAAGTAAATTTAGTATGTTTAGTATGACCTTCGTATTTTAAAACTATTGAAATAGAAGTAATCTATCTGAAAGTCTGTTATTGAATTTTCGCTTCATTAGTTTTCTTGATATATCGAAAACGTTGTTTATTAGTCTGAAATTATATTTTATCTAAAAGTTAGAAATTAAAATTCAATGAATTATCGTTTGTACATTTATATACTCATTTAATCTGACGTCGAAAATATAAGACTAAGAATGAGAAGCCATTATTCTGTTCATTCCATACAGCCATTCATGAAAACGTTAGAAGTGAGTCATCAGTTAAAAATCGAAAATAATAAAAATGAGTCCTAGACATATTTCCTGTCGATTTTTCATTGAATTTCATCATTTCTCTATTTGATTTAAGTTTTTTTATTTTTGTACATGTTAGTGCATTGGTGTTTTGTTACACGTTCTGTCAAAAACATGAATGAGTACTACTTTGAGTACTCATGCTATCATCCGCGAGTAAATTCTAGAGAAATAACTCATATGAGTACTCGCCCGAGTACACGAAAAGTATAATTATACATAAAAATTCTCGAGTACTCGAACGAGTCATCCGAGTGCTCATGCTGGCAAGTCGTACTCGCTTGATGAGTATTTTCACTAGGGTAGGATCCATTAACAAAATTAAAAGAATTATGTCGTGAAGAAGATAAATGTGAAAAATTTAAACATCGTTTACAAGAATGTACCGATAGAGTTAATAGTAAATCATGGACAAAAGAAACATGTGATGAAGAATTACTCAATTTTCTTCATTGTCTTGATGAATGTGTAAGAAGAATAATGAGATAATTATGATTTATTATTATTATTATTTTCTTTAGTGGTCATCACATATATTCAAATATTTGAAATAATCAACAAATTAGAGATATTCATCGAGTTTTAGCTATAGAGATATGTGCAACGCTTTTCTCCTTTCTTTTTGTTGCCAGGGGCGGCGCGAAGACATCAAAGCAGGGGGGGGGGGTAACTTCCAAAAATGGGAGAAAATGTGAAAAAAAATCAAATTTTGAGGCAATTGTTGAGCAAAAAAACGAAAATTTTCAAAAGCAGGAGGGGGTACCCTACCCCAACCCCCGCTCTCGCCGCCCCTGTTTGTTGCTTAACCTGAGTGATTTTTAATTGGGCTATTTTGTTTATTTCACTACAGATGTCTATGGTTGCTGCTCGTTTAGTAATTTGAACAACAAGTGCAAGTCCTAATCCTATTTTTTAGACTAATGTCAGGACGTACACTAGCTACTACATCTGCACCAACTCCAGCTTCTGGATCAGCAGCAGATATGGTTTCTACATGTGCTTCACCATCTGGAGTAAATGATTGAGATATTGAAAAAAGAAAATCAGATATATTTTTATTGATTTAGGTTTTTTATAATCAAGCAAAACATGTACGGCAAATTGATGTCTCTACAATAAGTGGTAATATGGGTATTCTTGGTATGTAGAATTAAAAATGAAAAGATATTTGATTTCTATTTTTAAATCTTTTTT